ATTTAAAAATTTTTTTTAGATGCCACATCGGTTGAAAATCGACAAAAGGTAAATGGCACTATTCTTCTTAAATATCTCTTACCGCACAATCTTTATGGCATGCGTCGTCTTAGCTAAACCAGTGATTAGAAAGAAAAGTCTCTATTTCATTTTTATAATTTTAGTAATATATAATAAATCAATAGGATCCAAGTTTATTAAAACTAAAGATGAAATAAAAATCATCAAATACTTTTCTGTATCTAAATGGTAGAGATAAGGAGAGTTATTTTTTCTATAAATTGAATTATAATGCAAACTAGTCTGACCCTGATTGCCCATAATATTCATTTTGTCGCTGATAATCTTTCAGGCATCTTACTGCTGGTAATGACTGTATCAAACCAAGCTCATTCATTACTTGACTTATTCACATCGGCGTGAAATGAGCGTAAAGCATTATTCGAGGGTTGTGTAGGTGTCCAAGCCTGCTGATGAACTTCCATTTCACTTATTTGAGGTAAATAATAAATTCATCTATCAGTATGCGGCCAAGCTGTCTGTAACATAATTATTCCTAATAACTTCATTACATCTTCTCGACACTTTTTAGGGATGTACAAACGCCAGAACATTTCTGAGATAGGGGCTAACTGACCAATAAAGGATTTATACGAAAGAGCTAAGTAAGTGAAGTCGCTTGCATACGATACTAGATTTATTTGCATACATATTGGCCTGTGTATTTTAAGTAGATCCCTTGAGTTTGATGCTTGCTCGCTAACCGGAAGCTCCAGTGTTCAATCGGAAGGACTGACATGGAAAAAGCGGATGGGACAAATACCGAGGCCCCGTGTGCTACAGGTTGTGCACGTTATAGATCCCTCGACAGTTGGAAATATAAAAACAGAATGCTTATGCCGTTCTGTTAAAATTTCCTCAATTTTACATATCATTTTACAGCTTCATTAACCCAGGTGCAGAAATGTAGGACGTAAACTCTATTCATTTTTATTTCATTTTTAGATGATCAGCCCATGCAATTTTTTTTTAGAATCATTCATACTGCAATAATAAACTGTTGTTTAAAATCATGAACGGAAAGACTGGTATTAAAATGGGAAATAATTCTTTCTCAGTTGGCATTATACTGGAATAATTCAATCATTGAAATCGTGTAATATGTGAAATTGAAAATGGATAAGAATTTGATGGATGATTGCCAAATGAAATAACAATTTATTACAAGCGGCGTCGTGTGAATTAAATAAACTTCGTCTCTATTTGTTGTTTGAAAGATATTTGCTGTCAGAACATTATACATTTGTATGTGAATATTTATATTCGAGTCATTTTCAAGACAAAAATCTGCACTGCCAATATGAAGACCCTTCCCAACAAATGAAAATTATTTTTAATTGTCCCTTATCAACTAAGAGGATGTGGGACACCAAATCATCAACTGCAGGAGAGTGCATAATCAAGTATGTAATTTTGAGTCAATGAATTGAATTAAATGGTCCGTTTTCTTATAGTTATACATCCTATTTATTATGAAGACGACCACTTCCAATGAAAGGATGTTTCCTCTGAAGCCAGTAGGTCTAAAAACCATCAAATGAAACGTGTTTTTCGGCACAGAGCGAATTAAAACATTAATCTCATTAAGATATTTCATCCTTTTGCAAATCTGATGCGTACTTGAAGTCCTATCTTCGACGTAAAAATCGGTTATACTTTCGAGTCAACGCATTCACAAGACTGGATATGTCCAAGATGTCTCTATAAAAATCATATAAAATTGGAATTTGGATTATTGAAGTAGAAACTAATGCAGTTGTATGAATTTGACTCTATGGAGGAGACATTCCAGATAAAGGTTAATATAAAAGGTAATTAGGCTTGTCCATTTCAATATATCATAACAAAATTGCAATTTATAAGGTTGTCTGGTTTTTCTCTTTTCTTCTCATATGAGAATTTTAATGTACATGAAGTCGGAATCAATTCGTTAAAATGTGGTTTATATGCTGTTTTGTTTGCTGTTCACATGCATTGTCCCTGGTGACGATTTTGTTTAGAATAGAATAGAATACGTACTAGAAACTAATATCAGATCAGTGCCCCTGGATTTCTTACAAAATATAAAATATCCATTTGCTAAAAATTTGTTAAGTATGCACGTCTTAGGTGAAGAACCATATTCTATTGTTTTCCAAAGAATGCAGAGAATTTCATTCTGCTTTGGAACCATTTAAACACAACGATAATGGAGGACAACGTGTCTGAACGGACGGTTCTGGGTGACTGTAATTAAATAGACAAACCTAGGAAAAGTACCACGAAAAAAATCGTAAATAAAAATATAACATGATATCGTGAGCCTACAGCTGTTAATTCAAAAGCTGTGAAACTTGTTTTTGATTTAAAAAAAAAGAATTGCCACATTTTACACCAAATAAAAAAGTAAATAACTATTAAGAATGAAAAGTTTAGGTGAAACATCTATCTGGCAAGTCAACCTCAATAGTACCAATAATTAACCAGTCTGATATTCCAAATGTATCTCATACATCATATTGTTATTTGATACAGTAAAGCCATGGACGGCCTTTGATAATGCAAAAAGATGGGATACGCACCCGAATCTATTTAATGATTCCATGAATTTGATATTAGTCACGTGATTCGTCATTGATCACGTCATTACAGAACGTGTCATGTTACTGTCATTCAAAAACCTTTCAAAGCACGCACTAATTAGTGTGCTAATATTGATCTTAGTTAATTACATCAACGACTCTCTTCTTTGATCTTCTGAAGCCTTCTTTGATTAATTACATTTGGATTATGTTTCAAAATGTCGATGACTAAAATGAATTTATTCCTCCTCGAAACAGACACACGAATGTTGTTCATTTGACATCTTATAATGCCCACATTTTAGGGAGTCAGAAACATGTCAACTCTAACTGGTGTATCTCAAGTGAACTATGTTACTGCATTTCCTGCACACGGACGGAATATCATTGAAAGCTTGTAGGCTAACTTGATAGAAAAATATTTGACCTTAAATTTAGATCCCTGAATGTTTACAACTTACAGGCGTATAACAAACAGGACTGCTTGTTTAACCACATTTTCATTTTAGTCGGGATTTACAGTTAAGGGTCCTTTCTGCTAGCTGGTCCTTGGCCAAACCTCTTGGCACTGATCTTATCATTACCCACTGGAATTATGAGTGAAGATGGCTTATTCTTTTCAAGGTCATCGGACTTTCAAATCTAGATAAGAGCCCATGGCCGCCATTTTCTCGTCACCAAGCAAATGACGTCATGCAAAGAACCAATCTTACCGACTGTTAAAGCAGAGATTTCTTTTTCTGTTACCTTCATGGTCCTCGATTACAATATCTCCCTTTGAATTCTTACTATTTGGTGTTCCCTGTAATTTAAGAACGCCAGTAATTTAGGGGAGGTAACACAAATCAAATCAGTTTTCAGACTACGTTTATATTAAACTTCGTAAACAACAGTTTTATCCAATGAAATATATCTTAGTGTTAAATTCAACTCCTGAAATGATATTTCCATACACAATTTTCAGGCCTAATGGCGGTTTCGGACGAAGGCTTTTTTCCAAAATAGAAAATAAAAAAGATGCTGAAACAACTGAATAAATTTGAACTTGAGGAGGTGTTCTCATTTCTTTAGTAATAGTCCTCACGGCTAATTTATACAGTTATGGATTTATTTATCCATATTAGATCAGCGTCACTTCCGTTTCCAACCCATCGTGACTTTCTACCTTGTTTGACCGAAACAGACCAATCTTGTAATAGGACCAAATATATAATGATATCATGTTTTTAAACCAGCCAATCAAAAAGCTTCCACATTAGGATTGTTTCTCGTTTGATTGGTTAAAATATTTCGCTTCATACGAAGCTTTTTGGACACACGGTCCCATTTTTATTTTGATAAGGGGGCGTGGGCGTGGAACGAAGATGTCCCCCAGAAAGACCACGCTTCTGATTTCAGCATTAAACACTAAAACATTTTTATGGAGGCTGTTAGTGAGTGCAATGAGAATTATATTAACAACCTGATTGATCGGAGTAATGTCCTTATAACCATCTACCACTTGCACTATATAATTCAAGTGAAAACTATTTTACTTTCAGATGCCTTCAATTAGCAACTATCTTCAAACTAAGAAAAAGCAATATTTGTTGAAAATGTGAAATGAAATGAACTTGATACTACGTGAATCAGAAAGGACATTTACATTAACATCGATTGGTTTCATTCAACCATCATCTTAATTATCTTTTTTCCCATTACCTATCATTTTGTTAAAATATGTATAATGCTGTAAAGTTAATGAAAAACTGTTTAAAAATAGAGATTATATTCTATGACTTTAAGGTTTACCTTTTTTCAACTCAATCTGTCATTGTTTTATTCCGTGATATGGCTGGGCGATATACCGTTATCACGATATATACCGGTATAGGAATATAATTATATCATTAGTAATATTACATCTTCAAATTTTTATCCAGATAAGATCATCTACACAATTTTAACAAGTAACTTAACATTTAAAACCGATGTTTTTTCATGATACTATACTGTTTTTTTAGAAATATTTATTATTTTTTGTTATTTTTTGAACTTATAAATAGAAAAAAAACATTTTGTTTCTAAGACTAGTAAAATTATACTTAAGAAATATCGTGATATATATCCATATCGCGATATATATCCATATCGCGATATCTTATTGCCTTATATCGTGATATCCACTTGAACCAATATCGCCCAGCCCTATTCCATGACATTCTTTGAATTGCCAGATGGCCTAGCACACATCTTAAGATTTGTCATAGAACCGAGACGGTGCATATCCTATACAGTGTATTTTGAGTAAATTGGCACATAATTGTGCTCTGCTACTGACTTAGTTGTGAAGTCTGTGGCCCCTTTTCAAAACTGTGAAACTGATCCTATATACATGAACTACATTGCCGATACCTCTAGCTCTTTAAAATGGAGGAAGTCACTTGCAGCCCCATTGTTGATAAATATATATCTAGCTTTAAATACGGTAGAAGATATACACTGTGTTATATTGTATATATACTGAGAAATGAATGATGTGTCTTGGAAGCAAAAATCAGCATTACTGAATCCTTCAGCGTCACATTTTCCACGTAAATTCAACTTCAAGGTAAAACCTTTAATTTGGTCTCGTACGTCTGAAAAAGAACAAACATTTCGGAAATATTTCAAGACGATGATAGACTATGGAAGAACCCTGCTGGTTCTAAGTAACTCTAAAACTGACTCGAATTGTCCAGGATATTCTTACAAGCAGATTTCCTGAAATGGACGACATATAATAAATTGTCTATTGTTGATATTCAGATCAAATTCTTGTCTGGTTTTAATCTTCAAGAGTTTTATTGATATGCGATGGAACATGCGAAGGAATACCGAAAATATGCGAGGTCTAGTGTAGTGTACAGTGCGGGATTTTTGATACCGTTCAAAAAGTAGGCACCCGGGTGCAATGTGGACTTTTAAGTAGACACACCGTAAGATGCACCAGATGTCATACCTCGTCCATTCCCACTGTAAGTGTGTTATGTCGAAAAGAGAAAAACTTTAATTTACAATGCTTACATCCTGCTTTGTTTTTGTTGTATAAAGTAACATATTTAAGGTTATAAATATGTATGAGATCTACGCACCACCATGACATCGGCGCCTGTTGACTACTCACAAATGTCGTATATTTATCATCAACGGCTCGACATGAACCAGTACTTCTACTCAATTCACTGCTCATGGTTGTTGGTTTAAACAAGGCTACATTGTTCTTATCTTAAATAAATAAAACAACCTGCAAAGCTAAGCAAATTTTCTGAATGAAGCCACAAAAAAATCCAATGCCAAGATATGTTCAGACGGACCTAATCACATTTATCAGCATACCCGAACTTACTTAATTACCTTTGGTAAATGAATGAAATGACTAAATATCACTAAATTACCTTTTGTAAATGAATGAAATGACTAAATATCACTAAATTACCTTTTGTAAATGAATGAAATGACTAAATATCACTAAATTACCTTTTGTAAATGAATGAAATAACTAAATATCACTAAATTACCTTTTGTAAATGAATGAAATGACTAAATATCACTAAATTACCTCTTGTTAATGAATGAAATAACTAAATATCACTAAATTACCTTTTGTAAATGAATGAAATAACTAAATATCACTAAATTACCTTTTGTAAATGAATGAAATGACTAAATATCACTAAATTACCTCTTGTAAATGAATGAAATAACTAAATGCCTCTGTAAATGAAATGATTGAATTCTATTACCTTCTGTTAATGAAATGAATGGATTATATTACCCTGTAAATGAAATGATTGAATTCTATTACCTTCTGTAAATGAAATGAATGGATTATATAACAATGAATGTATTATATTTATTCTCTGCAAATGAAAAAAAAATGAATTATTTTACCCTTTCTAAATGAAATGAATGCCTCTGTAAATAAAATGTATGAAGAACAACAATTTGTGAAATAAACTACATAAATGTCTACAATTTAAATGAAATGAATGAACTACATCAAATGAATGAATAATATTACCTTCTGTAAATGGAATGAATGTTTCCATTGTATTCTCTATTAGGTAATCACAGTCATTCAAATTTCCTTCGTATAAGAAACACTCTTTCTGTAAATTGTGATAAGCAAAAGCCGAACACTGTGGGAAAAGCTGACACCAAGCTCCACAAATTGGCCTTAACGTGATAAATTTTCTATAATAGCCACTAATTAATTTATTACTATGATATAAAGTGTACAATTCATTCGATGTGGTATCTCCGGCAGCATATATTTGGACCAACAGAAGCCATTGAATAATGATTGTATCCATGATGAAGAGAAAATGACGATTGTTTTAAGTTGTAAGATGTTCAGCATTCCAGCTTATCGATCTTATACTCATCTCGTTAATATATCGGATATAAACTTCATACGCTTATCTTAAAATTGAAAGAGTTTTACGTCGGGTGTTCAAACTATCTAGAAAGCTTGACCCGACCTCTTTTACAGGGGGAAATTTTGTAAAATAATATTACCTGGGTCGGGATCGAATTCTCTAAGTTAGAAAGCAAGTGTCTAACGAGCGACCGCGATACCCTAATTATAAAGTCATAAAAAAGACTAGAATAAATGAGTCATAAAGGCATCAATTTCACCATTTCTGTTGAATGTACCGTTGTACAATGGTCAACAATGCTATGTTGTTGCCAGTTGGCAGCACACAAATGGACTGACTAAAAATAATTGAACAGAAAACAATTGTATGATTTGAAACGAATCCAATTTGTGGATTTCACATAAAAAGAAATTTTGAAATTGTTGATGTAGTGTAAATTACCCAATCGAAAAACATTACAAAGTCAATATAAATATGACTTACCAATGACTGCAAACACGAATTGGTTTTCCAATATGTTATTTTTTATTATTAAACAAAAATGCTAGACATGTATTTAGAAAATAATCATATATCCTGCTTGAGTACACTGAAACTTTATTGAATATTGAACAATAAATATTGTCTTTCCTTATAATGCAGTATTCAATATAAATGAATACAATTTATAATATACATAATGTGTGGTATGTTGTAATGTGTAATCATGTAATACTAACGTCAGAACGTAATAAAGAAGTGTGCATGAAGTATTCTTAAAAATATAATGTCAAGTATTCTTTCATGAGACACGCGTTATTTATGTTCTAGGATTTTCTTTATGGGGATTTAATTATAAGTCATATTCATATGTTTAGATTATATCTTTTAAAAGCAACCAATACGTGTTTTAGATACTCATTTATATCTAATGAGAGAGATCCTTTTTACAAAACAAAACTTAAAAACAGCTTTGTGCATGTTTGTTGATTAGCCGGTTTAAAATCACGTGACATCACCTCAGTAGCCTACCTACGAGGTTTGTCTGCTTTAGAGAAATACGGTCGAAATAAATAATAATTTCGAATGTTGAAGAGACAATGAATCAACGTTTAATAAAGTATCTAAATAGATATATTTTTTATCAATTTTATCAATCATCGTATTCAAATCGTTCGAAAATCGTTGATGATATTTAAGTCATAAGCAAAGTTTGGGTTTTTTGGCAGCATCAAGAGCAAACTAATAGCCGCCTTAAATCCCTAGTGTAATCATATGACCAACAGACATCACCGAGGTGCAACAGCAGAAGTAGAATTGAGGAAGTTTGTGGTAATATCTACTATAATTAGTATTTGCCCGGTTGGTATTTTAGGGAACTGACTGAAAGTTTGTATACGTTTGGAACACCCACATTATAACATTTGCAATGTCGAATATGTTGACTGTATTCACTTGTAAGTTCGTGATGATATCTACTATTATTAGTATTTGGGGTTGGTTTTTCCATGTTGCAATCCCTAAACATGGAAATCCCTAAAAATGGAAGCAGGATGTGCTAATAATGTCTTTTTAATAGTTAGTCGTCACAAACATATTATTCAAACGTGCACAATCTTTGTTTTGCAACTCTATAAAAGAAGAAACAATCTGCTTGAAGTTTCATACTAAGCGAACAGTAAGCTAAAGTGTACATACTAATCGAAAAAACTCAAAATGTTTAAAGAGTTCATTTTTGTATTACTTATAAGTAGTGGATGTGTTTCGGCGAATCTGGTCAGGGACGATCTGGAGAGATTCAAGAGAGATGACGATAAAACGCTTACAATGAAAAACTATTTTATCAACTCTTTTGTACAGAACCATTTTGCTACTGTGAGGTATACGATTCATGTTGAAAACGAACACTCGGAAACAGTTAGTTCAACATTTGTTTTGCCGATTCCTCAAGATACATTCATAGCAAGTTTTAGTGCAATCATTGATGGTGTAGAATATGCTGGTGAAATGGTTTTGAATGAAAACATATCAACGGAAGACAATGGAACCAATACACAGACTGCATTAACAGCACAGGTCAGAAAAAGGTTAATTGACGACCCTAAAAGAAACATTTTCGAAATTGATCTAACTCTGGCTGCTGATAAAGAGACAACTTTCATAGTTACCTATTATGAACGGTTAATACGAAAAGGTTCACATTACAAACAAAGACTTATTGTAGAGCCCGGCCAATTAGTGGACACTTTACTGGTGAACGCCATCTTCTTAGAAGACCAAGGTTTTGAAACATTTTCGTATATGTTACCAATGGCTAACGATTTTCACGACGCAAGTTCTGATTTAGCGAGTTTATTAGAGACACCAACCAAAAGAAGTCTTCTCTATCAACTGTCTAGAGATCAACAGTTAGCAGCTTCATATCAAGGAGTAGCTGGAGAAGTAATCATTACGTATGATCTGAATTCTACACAGGGTGCTGGTATGGTTGATGTCAAAGATGAATACTTCGTTCATTATTTTACACCGAGTGGACTGAAACCAATAGACAAGAACATTTTATTTGTATTAGACACCAGTGGATCTATGGCGGGTATCAAAATTCAGCAACTTCGTGAATCAATGTTGACCATCTTGGATAACCTAAATCCTGATGATAATTTCAATATCTTAAGATTTGAAAGTAACACTTCAACACTGTTTGATTATCCTGTTGAGGCGAATTTAACAAACATCGAGGAGGCCATGATTCTAGTTAATGATACTATTAAAGCTGGAGGAGGCACAGCTATTAATGATGCTCTTCTTGAAGCTATTATATCACTGAAAGCCCTTCCAAATAAGAGTAGGCGAGCGCAGCTAATATTTTTCCTTACTGATGGAGGGGCAACAGTAGGTGTAACTAGCAGAAAAAAAATACTGCAAAATGTAAAGAGTGAGAATGACGGCTCCATATCTATTTATTGTTTAGGATTTGGTGTTAATTCGGACGATAAGTTTTTGAAGGAACTAGCGAAAGAAAACCGTGGAATCTATGCAAAAATACCTGAAGATACCACAGCAAGAGATGAGATTATAAAAGCGTACATGCAAATAAAGGATCCTCTTTTGTTGGATGTTTTAATTAGCTACGACAGTCGGTATGTTAAACTGAATTCAACATCTAAGAACAAATTCCATCAATATTTTGACGGAACCGAGATTATTGTTACTGGAAGATTGCAGAAAGCTGGTGATTTCCCCCCAGAGGCAGTTTTAGTTCAGGGAATTTCAAGAGATGGGAATTTAAATTTAACAATGAAAAAGGAAGCTGTCGTTGTTCGACCAAAGGATACACGAAAAAGGAATAATGACATATACGATGAGGGTTCGAAGATAGCAGATCAACTAGAACTCTACGCTCAAACACGTAACAACCTCCACAAAGAAAATATTGAGAAAATTGCTATGAAGTACAACATGGTCACTCCATTTACTTCCTACGTACTTAAAGTAGCAGAAACAGGTGCGTTTAACGGAGCCAGATCTCACAACTGTTTGGGTGTATCAACCAAAGCATGCTTCTTATTTTGTGCTTTCTCCATTAGATTTTTTTATATATGAAATAACTTGTAATTCAAACACTTAAAATATTTTTTGGAGGGGGGGAGGGGGTAATATTGATATCGCTTTTAACTATTGGAGAAGTATGGTTTATCGCTTTTAATAATTATGGGGAGTATTTCAGAAATAACGTTTAAAATGGTTTAAAACAATGAATGTGTTTATATATAAGTGAGGACTCTTTTTATCATGTCAAAATGCTAAGTAATCTTTAATAAATATCGAATAGCTTTCTTTTAAATTTTATATTCCGAAATTTTTTTTGTTAATTTTTTGTTATCAATCTCGTTTTTCTAATACAATTTATTATTTGTTATATATGCATTAAAATGTTTCATGTACCGACTTATTTATATTTCTCTTCTACATTACTGCTTAACATTGCCAACAAAGACAATGTAAATGAGGCAGAAGCCGAGTTTATCAATTTGCGTTAATTTTGATTCCAAACAAGCCTGCGACCGTCATAACAATTATCGATCTCAATACATTGGTTCCATCTTAAAGAGATGTCCAACTAACTAGCAGATTAGCAGATTATTACCCGATAGGAATGAACAACCATTGTTCTCGAGTTATTTGAATACGACACTGATTTGGTATTGTTTTGCTATTGTTTAGCACAGAAAATTCCCAAAGGGTGCAAGCACACTAAATTCTAAGTGCGATAATGATTCCTTTACGACCGAATGTTGTACATCTTTTATTTAATGTATGTAACTGGGTCAAATCACCAAATAGTGCCGAAAATTCTTAATTATGGTCACGCTCATTGAAATTACATTTGGAATGGCTGGATATTTAAAGAATTTTTAAACTTCGTTAAAATACACCAACAATTGATTTTGATGAATTGTTGTTGTATTAGCCTATTAATGTACATGTAAATAAATCTCAAGCAAAGGTTACCATATTCATTTGGTTTATTGATATTGATAATAGTAAACTGTCTACAATTAGCTTGTGCTACAGCTTCGAAGGATATCCTTCATTGTACTGCAATGATCCATAGTGACTGCAGTTAATCGGGATAATTATGGATGAACATGGCTAAGAAGTCTAAAATTGCGACTGTATACTGTTAACACTATTACTGAACAAACTGAACAATTCCTGTTTCTAAGACAAAGATACGATTGGAATCCAAAAATGATGAATAATGCCTTGTAAGATATAAATTACTTAGATTTATGTCCAAAGTTGAGAAGAAATTGTTTATAACAACCCGTACTTCACTTTAAAACAGATTAATACCAGAATAAAGATGAATTAAATATTGATTCGTTGCATAGCTGTAAGTAGTCTCCCTTTATATGTTAAGATGTCATATATCACAGGCCAATTTCACTTAGCTTTCACAACTGGGTAACATATTTTGTCTCATAGAAAAATAAACCAGATAAACCGAATAAATATTGTGTATGCGTTGGACATATGAAGTTGGTATACAGAATTTTAGATAGCACATAACGTATTTGACGTTCCAGAGCAACAAATCAACACATGTGACCAAAATGCCTTTCTTGCTTACAGAGAATATAAACATTTAAGAAAGGATTTTATATAATTATCTACATCAATATAAAAAATATCAACATCAATCAATTCAAAATTCAAATACCAATAAGTTTTCGGAGGTTATTGCCTTCAAATTCGTTCAATATTTAACGATTGAGCAATGCAAGTGTGATGGTTTCAGCATTCAAACTTAAACTGTCGAGAACGTTTATTTTCACGAGAAGATATTTCTGTTATATCTTGTCGTCAAAAGTCGTAACTGCCCATCTAGTAATGCTTCCATGGTAAGTGTATTTGTGCAGAAAACTATACTTCTGAATAGTTTTACGGATATCTCATATTAATCTAAGATTTAGAAACAGATAGTTCGATTTTTTTGTCCGGATACAAACAAAACTGCCATCTGAACACGGTAAATTTATTTTGGAATTCTAAATCTCTAACCAGTTTTTTTTTTATTCTGTTTCAAGTTTCAGAAGTACCCTAGATTATTTCGTAGTATTAATATACCTTTTTGTATTCAACATGTTTTTACTTGAATACAATTACTTAATTTGAAGTATGCTATGCTTCTTTGTATCTTTTAAATCTATGCAATATATAGTTAGAATTTTGTCGTGAGAAATGAAAGACCTATCCGAAGCTAACCTTAATTGCCTTTGCCCCAGTTTAATACATTCGCTAAAAGTGTACAAGTTGTTTGTGGACCATTTAAGCCCCCGTCTTATATTTCCCAACCAATTTGTATTGAGAAAATGCGCATTTTTTGCTTAGGTCTCGGTGGCCAAGAGGTTTTGACACTTTCTCGGCAACTTGGGGGTCCCACGTTCGAGTCCCAGTCTGAAATTTTTTGAAAATTCTTCTTTTTTAGTCAAACTCTGTTTTAAGTATACAAAATGGGTCCAGGCTAATCCTGGCTAATCCTAATTGCCTTTGACCTATTTTATCCATTTGAAGCCATTTGCGTTTTTGGATTGAGGGAACGTTAACTTTCTTACTTCTGGATAAGACTGTACATGGTTGTTCAATCTTAAAGGTTACTGAGGTTAGAACTATTGTAACCAGGCAACTGTGCCGTTTTATTATTTTATTATTTAAGAGTCTTAGTCTTATCTTAGTCGCTTATTTAAATTATGAAAACAAACTTATGAATGTCTGATGTCGCTAGTCAATGGAATTATCTAACTGTGTAAAAATACAAATATTTACCGTTATAATACAGATGTGACGTCACCCTTTTGATCTTGGCGTACCATTATCCAACATGGACCCTAAATATTGATCTGTTTTATAAATAGCGGCCATAAAGAATTAAATTTATTCTACTACCAAATAGCTTTTGATATATGCTCCGCCTTTTTAGATTAGAAACATTTTCCTAGGGGGTGAACCCCTGACCTCCAACAAATCTAGTGCCCTATTAAATCCAGAAAGGGGAACTGAGGGCCCTCAGATGTCACCTCCGTCAATGAAATCCTCGCTATGCCATCGTATATTTCGAAATAATTGCATGAGCTATAAGGGAAAATGAAAAACTGACCTGTAGACATACATATACAAATTATACGAATAATACAGATATACGAAATGAAATAAGTAAATACATGTATCCATTTTGATTTATATCATTTAATAGAAAATGAACGACAAAACAATGAGGAATAACAGTTTCAGAACTCGGAACAGGTATATTTTTTATCAATCCTGACCGGACATTTTAAAAGGTTTCCTGTATTATCTTGTCATGTAATTGGATCTCTTGTGACCTATATTAAAGCACGTGCCCGAGTAGATGTTATTATTTGTGGGCTGTAGTTTAAGTTACAAATATTTACCGTTATAATACAGAAGTGACGTCACCCTTTTGATCTTGGCGTACCATTATCCAACATGGACCCTAAATAACAGAGCTCGGCTGCACGTATGGTGTGATAATTGCAGTTATAAAGTTTTAAATATGTATGAGATCTACACACCACCATGACATCGGCGCCGTTGACTACTCACAAATGTATATTTATCATCAACAGCTCGACATGAACCGGAACTTCTACTCAATTCACTGCTCATGGCTGTTGGTTTAAACAAGGCTACGTTGTTCTTATCTTAAATAAATAAAACAACCTGCATAGCACATTGACTCAATTCAAGCCACAAAAAACTTCAATGCCAAGATGTGTTTATTTTCAGACTGACTTCGTTCACCTTTATCCGTATTCCCTAATTAACTAAAACATGTACCGACCAGAACGACCATATTTTTTTCTCGGGTAGAATTTTAAACATGTATCTCAGGTTTGGGTCTGAACGGTTACCACTATGTAAAGCTATGTAAATGATCATAAGTTTTTTTTTCAGAACAACCATAGGAAAATGAATTGGATAACTAATTATCACTTAATTACCTTTTGTAGATGAATGAAAAATAACTTAATATTACTAAATTACCTTTTTATATGAATGACTAGAATAAATGAGTCATAAGAGCATCAATTTCACCATTTCTGTTGAAAGTACCGTTGTACAGGCATGGATATAGTCAACGAGTCTATGTTTTTGCTAGTTGGCAGCACACAAATGGACTGACTAATCTGTCTACGACAAGCAAAATTTTCGTTATGAAAAATTATATCAAAAGATTGTCTAGTAAATAATTGTATGATATGAAATGAATCTAACTTGTGGAGATTGTTGCTGGTGTAAATTACCCAATCGAAAAAGATTACAAAGTCGATATAATAATAATAATAATTTAGTTTATTAATTGTGTCACGATTCAGATACATGAATATTAAACATATATAGATATAGCAATAAGGTTGGCCTATGTAACACTTACTGGTTAAACATATTTACATATAAACATGATACTGGACGGGCACATTACTTATATAAAAAAAAAATTATTCACGTTCTGACAAAAAGTTAAAATTTGA